TGTCCTGTCCCCTTAGCAGAAAAACACCCCCAAAGCAGAATGTTTCCACCACCATGTTTGACAGTTGGGATGGTGTTCTTGGGGTCATAGGCAGCACTCCTCCTCCTCCAAACACGGCGAGTTGAGCTGATGCCAAAGAGCTCGATTTGGGTCTCATCTGACCACAATACTTTCAGCCAGTCCTCCTCTGCATCATTCAGATGTTCAATGGCAAACTTCAGATGTGCCTGGACATGTGCTTTCTTGAGCAGAGGGACCTTGCGGGCACTGCAGGATTTCAATCCTTGTTGGCGTAGTGTGTTACCAATTGTTTTCTTAGTGACTGTGGTCCCAGCTGCCTTGAGATCATTGACAAGGTCCTCATGTATAGTTCTGGGATGATTCCTCACTGTTCTCATGATCATTGACACTCCACGAGGTGAGATCTTGCATGGTGCACCAGGACCTAGGGAGACTGACAGTTATTTTGCGTTTCTTCTATTTGCGAATGATTGCACCAACTGTTGTCACCTTCTCATCAAGCTGCTTGGCGATAGTTTTGTAGCCCAGTCCAGCCTTGTGTAGGTCTACAATCTTGTCCCTGACATCTTTGAACAGCTCTTTGTTCTTTGCCATGGTGGAGAGTTTGGAATCTGATTGTTTGATTGCTCCTGTGGACAGGTGTCTTTTATACAGGTAACAAAATGAGATTATCAGCACTCCCTTTAAGAGACTGCTTCTAATCTCAGCTTGTTACCTGTATGAAAGACACCTGGTAGCTAGAAATCCTGCTGAATGATAGGGGATCAAATACTTATTTCCCTCATGAACATGCAACTCAGTGCATAATTTGTTAGATTTGCATTTCTTTTGCATTTTTCGTTCTGTGTCTCAGTGTTACAATACACCTACCATTCGCTTTTTAGACTGATCATTTCTTTGTGAGTGGGCAAACAATCAAAATCAGCAGGGGATCAAATACTTATTTCCTTCACTATAATATATATATATATATATATATATATATATTATATATGAGGGAGAGGGAGACTCTCTGCGCTGTCCTTATATCAAAGCAGTTATATTGCATTATCAATTCCTGGATTTGCATATTGAGTATTTCCTCCTTGTGATATTTCTCCATATTCCATCACGTGTCATCTCTACATGATCCTCTGTGCTGAGGAGTCTGAAAATAATCAGACCATCCTCGTATGTAGAGGAGTTATTATTACACATTTATGTTAGCTATGACAATATTCCCTTACTAAGGACACCACTAAGCAAATCACATCAAATTTTTACCAAAGGAGCTTACACCTTCAACACCCACTACAGCTACACAAGTATTTTTATTTATTATTATAGCTCCACCATTGTCTGCAGCACCGTACAAAGAACACCAAACCATTCGTGTTAGCCTCTGCACCAGAAGAGCTTACATTCTAATGTCTCCACAACATTCACACACTATTATTATTATTATTATACATTTGTATAGTTCTGCAGTGCTGTGCAGAGAACACTGAGCTATTTACCTCATCCTCTGCATCAGAGGAGCTTTCTAAAAATATGTGTGTTTATAATATTCTCTTTTGTCATTCTGTCCAGGCATCATCTATAGAGTATGCTGAGTCAGCGGTGTGCCGAATAGAGGAGACATTACTGTGATGGTGCGTATTGCTCCCCTGTTATTTATATGTTACTGTGATAGTATCATTCTTTTGTAATCTAGACTGTGGGGAGATTTACTAAAACTGGAGAGAGCAAAATCTGGTGCAGCTCTCCTTAGAGACCAATCAGCTTCCAGGTTTTATTGTCAAAGCTGAAGCGAGAAGCTGATTGGCTACCATGCACAGTTGCACCAGACTTTGAGTGTTCCAGTTTTATCAAACCTCCCCTGTATGTTACTGCAATGAGGAGCATGCATCTTCTATGAACTCTATATTATTGTCATGCAATTATCACTCATCTATAAGGCTGTACTAGTCACCCAGGAGCTGCATGTCATGTTATATAGTGACCACTACATGCGATAAAAATAAACCGGCTCCAAAATGTGAAAATATAATCATGTTAATTTTCTTTCTTTTGATTAGCAGCCAGTCCAAAGCAGAACTGAAAAGCTTATGTGGTGAGAACATTCCAAATAGTGGGTAGCTTGGTATAGGTCATTCAGCTTTTTACAGACTGATTTCAGCTGATCTGGGAATTGCTAGTCTTTGGTGCTGGTACTTTGGGCATACTTTAGGATTTAGGTTATCTGAGTTTTTATTGTCAGTTTTAGGGTAACTAGTCAAACTATTTTGATTTTCTTTCTATTTCTATCTATATTGCTGCTGAAAATAGTGACTGGAGTTACTTTCTAATTTGTACCATCAAAAGGGAGATACAATAACACATATCGTATATGTTCCAGGTAGTATAACTTATCTACAGAAGTATAAAAATGATTGGGCATTTTGTGGGCAAAAACTGTTTTTTATTTTGGTGATTGACCTCTAGAACAACTAAATATAGAGGGGTGTCAATGAGGTATATGGTCCTTCTTTTTGCTATTACATTTTAATGATGGGGTTTAGGAGTTAAGCTTTCCAGATCAGTTGTCTTTGCTGCCCGCTGGTATGCTCAGGTAGTGTTTGCCACACACAGGAACAGGAGGAGCTGAGTTTAGAGTTACATGTTACCTAGGGTAATGTGTATGTATCTAAAGCAATTTTTTTTTTTATTTCTTTCTAGATAGATATGGAAATGGTAAAAAAAAAAAAACACTGTCGGTTTTTTTTTTATTTGTATCCAGTTGGAGAGATTTCTCATCTGTCATTTTGATTCAACAAGAAGTGGGAGGAGGTCTCTCTAAATTGGGAGAAATACTCCTTTAAACCATTGTCACTGGAGCATTGGAAAATTTCCCTTTTACTCATGTACTGGTGACAGCTCAAAATGTTGGACTTTCTCTCAGAGTGAATCTCCCTAATGAGATATAGACAGCAATGAAAACCTTACAGGGGTTCTGTGCCTTGGCCACTCTATAGAAAAAATGTTTTAATGTTGACATTAGCAAAGAATAGAGCAATGTGCACAAAAATGAACAGCAATTATTTGGCTGATTTTTATAAATATAGAAAAGATAGGAAGAAACAGCAGCTAAAGTTCCACATCCACAAATTGGAAAATGGCAGAAACAACTTGGGTAGATACGATATAAAGGCTTTGCCCTTTAAGGAAATTTCTTCCTGGAAAGAGTTTATAAATTGTTTAAATCCGCTTCCAGAACAGATTCACTGGATTTAAAGCAGAAATAAACCTATCGATTTCACGGTTTCAAAAAGCAGAAACATTCCTGGCATGCAAGAAATGCTGTTACATTTGCTTGTGCTCTCAACCAAACTGTCAAACCATCAAATGGCCGGTGTCATAACTGGTCACATGTGCAACACCATGACAGTTGCAGTCAAACAGAGGCCAAGATGACAGCTTCTTTGGCTGAAAAATATAGGAGTGTTTAGTTCCGCTTTAAAGTGAAACTAAATCTATTGATTTAAAGTGGTTGTAAACCTTTACAAGTGAAGTGACTGGCCTCAGGTAATACACAGAGATTAAAAAAAATGCTCCTACATAAGTTCTACCTGTTTATCTAAAGCAGTCTGTCTCCTACATCCATTCAAAGTACAGAATTTACATTCTCTCAGCTCTGAAAAGCAGGAGGTGGGGAGCTGAAGTTACACTCTGCAGAGCTCGGTGAGGAGAGCTCTGAGAGCTGTTTGGAGGGAAGAGACACGCCCCTTTCTCACAGCACACAGGAACAGAGCTAAGACTGTCAATCAGCTATATCTCCCTTCCCTGTCATTTTTTTTTTCTGTTGGTGTTGGATAAACTTGTCAGAAGTCACTCATTCAGATAGCAGAGGAACAAAGCAGCAAGAGGCAGATAGAAATTACATTTGGTGCTCTGCATTGAGACAAGTACACACTATAGAGGGATATGCTTTGTTCATATTTTATGTCTGAGGTTTACAACCACTTTAAGGCCTCATTCATACCGTACGTGCAGAAAAAGTGATGGAAACTGACATGCAGATTTCACTTGCAGAGACATCAGTTTACACCAGTTTTCATGCGTACATCATTGCGTTTTTACACGTTGCAGATTCCTGCGCAGAAAAGGTCTGCACGGGATACTAGTGTTGTGGTGTGAACAGGGCACATAGAGAACAATTGATTTTGTTGTGCCCTTGCTAAACGCAAGCAGAAAAAACTGATGCATGTGCACACTGGTGTGAACGAAGCCTAACTGTTTCCCAAAACAGTTTTCTTTTTTGTAAAGGCATGCTGTAAATGATAACACTCAATATTTCTTGTGCTCTCAAAACTGTCACAGCACCATGGCAACTGCAGATTGAGCAGAGGCCAAGATGGCAGCTTCCTGGGCTGTGAAGGATAAGACAGTTTAGTTTTGCTCTCAAACAATTACATTTGAGGCATGCCCTGAGCGATAACTGTCGCAATTGCTTGTGTCAACTGAACTGTCGGACCTTCAAATGGCTTGTGTCATAGCTGATCACTTGTGCGAACACTATGGCAACTGCAGTTCAATCCGAGGCTAAGATGGCAGCTTCCATGGCTGTAAAGGATAGGTGGGTTTAGTTCTGCTTTACCTATATTGAAATTTTGCATAACTGAACAGGGATTGCCAGAGCACTTTTGTAATGGAGGTGAGGCAGTTGGAAATGATGAAATATCCAGTTACAATCACTAAACAGCACAATAATTGATCCAAAAGATTGGTCTTGGGAGGGTCAGAAAGGAATTTTTTTTTTTTTTTTTTTTTTTTTTGCTTTTTTTGTGTGGCAGAATTAGCAGCAGTTGCCCTGGGGAGGGGTGATATTTGCTTTCCTCTGGACAAAGGCTGCAGGAGTTGTGAGGAAGCTGTTATGTAAAATGGGCTGCCCAGTTTACTGGATAACATTTTGATTATATTTTTTTTTTTGTTTCCCCCAAGCCTGCTACTACCAGAAACCTATGGAGAAGAAGGATTTTGAGACATGGCTTGAAAACCTTTCAGCATCCTTCTTCACCTTGACTGACCTGCAGAAAAATGAGACTTTGGATCACTTGATCAGCCTAAGTGGGGCAGTGCAGCTACGGCATCTCTCCAATAATCTGGAGACACTTTTGAAGAGAGATTTCCTGAAACTTCTTCCACTGGAGCTCAGCTTCTATTTGCTAAAGTGGCTGGACCCGCAGACCTTACTCACATGCTGCCTGGTCTCCAAGCAATGGAACAAGGTGATAAGTGCCTGTACAGAGGTGTGGCAGACTGCATGTCGGAGTTTAGGCTGGCAGATTGATGACACCGTGCAGGATACACTTCACTGGAAGAATGTTTACCTGAAGGCCATCTTGCGAATGAAACAACTGACCAATCATGAAGCATTCCAGACTGCATCACTGATTGGGCACAGTGCCAGAGTTTATGCACTTTATTATAAAGATGGCCTCCTCTGTACAGGTGAGTGTCTGCTGTATTAACATTTTGCAGGGGAAGATGAAAGAAGAGAAACATTTTAACAGAGTTGTTTTGTTCTTCTTCTCATACTCAGCAGTTCCTGGCATTAGTATTAGTACTTGCAGCCCTTTAGAGTACATTTCCTGTCCCATCATCTGTTCACAAGATCAGTGCCTGCAGCATGATCTTCCCTGAACTGAAGACTCTTTAGCATATATGAACGGAGGTCCACTCCAATGGACCAGCACCACCGCGTCTTACAACAAAATTGCCTTAGCTGTACCAGACTGCACTGCTTTGTCAGTTGTGCACTCAACTGACCAAATTCCACAACATTAAAAGTATTGAAAACTGACATCAGATAACTATACTTTGAAAATGTGAACTTATTGAACTCCTTTTCAATTTCTTTCAATTCTTTTGTCCCCCAATGAACAAGAGACTGAGTTATACTACTGCCTACAGGAGGATTGGACACTGGTATACAAAAAACAATGATCAGCCCAGTATAACCCCTTCTACTCCCAGAATGCCTTTTTTTGCTTGTGTTCTAGTGGGGTAGATGCCTTTCTCTGCTCTGCTAAGAAAAGTCTAACATCCAGCTTTTCCTTTTGTTTTTCTTCAGTCAAAAATGTTTTTCTTAATTTTAAGATTTCTGTACAAGCGGTTTGGGCTTGTCTCAATATGCAGCTATCTTGATTGGTGTATCCTCATCACTAGTTGTGGAGACCAAACCCAGACCCCAATGGACAGACAATCGTGGGGCTTGCTTGGAATGTGACCTTTGGGCGCTGGGCTTTGCATTGTGATACTTTCTAGACCTCTGGGCACCATTATGACCCCCGATTTTCTCTTGGTTTACCACTGAAGGACTGAGCACTGATGTCATCTGCTAGTTGGAATTTTGTTGAGAGAGCACCTTTCTACCACTTCTCCTTGCAAGTTACATGTGGATTATCCTCAATTGGTCTTTGATGCCCGCCTTCAGTGACTTAGACACCTCTGGCCATTTGATCCTCTTCTGCTACCAGCAGCTGGTCTGTGAGTGTTCGAGGCATAGCCTTGTACCCTGAGCTTTGTTGTCCCTGTTTTTCAGTGTTTCCCAAAGGTATTGGAAGCAGTCACACTGCACCGGGTCCCTCCAGCTCACGATCTACAAATGGTTCTGGTCCTGCCTGCAGTGCACCCATTGGACTGATACTGACACTGGAATGTTGTCCTCTGTGTCTCTGCTGTCCTCAACCTCCTTCATAGCTTCTGGCCTTCTCCTATCCCACGAGGATTTCATCACAGTTATGCTTGATTTTGTGGGCCAGATTGTGACCTTATTTGCTGACTATGACTGCAGAGGCCATAAACATATTTCCCATGCCTTCCGCTGCAGAATAAATGTATGATCTGCTGGAAGCGTTAGTAGCCTCTGAGCCTTTTGCTTCAGAGGCTCTGTCTAATGTTGAGTCTCTGAAATCCTTAAACTATGTTACACCTGAGAAGTCGCAGGCTGATGCTATTTCTCCCAAACCTATAGAGACCATTGGGGAGATTCACTAAAACTGGAGCATTCAGAATCTGGTGCAACTATGCATGGTAGCCAATTGGCTTCTAATTTCAGGTTGTTCAATTAAGCTTTGATAATAAAATCTGATTTTGAGTAAATCTCCCTGTCTCTGCTGTTATTGATGCAGTTTACACCACTTTAAAATTGGAGCATCAACCTGCAGCTTCTGACAGTGCTGTTACCTCCCTAGGCTCCTGCAGAAACCCTGAGACCATTAAGACCTTTCAAATGCACCAGCTATTCCCAGCTGTTGTTTATGGAGACTATGAGACTCCTGACAAGCTGTTTACACTTCCCAAATGATTGAGAGCCCTGTATCTATTTAAGGAGTCTTTTGTTAAGAAATAGTCTGTTCCCATTGTGGATCTGGCAGTAACCCATCTCAAGAAAGCATTGATGATCCCCATGGATGATGTGCCTGTGTTTAGAATTCCATCTTTAAATCTTTGAAAATTCTTTTCAAGATCTTCTGATTTGTCTGGCAGGCACAGGACTGCAACCTGCCTTGGCCATGATGCTATTCTGTTATGAATTTGATGCTGGTATGTTCTTGGAACTTATTTCCACCAAACTGGGATATTTGGAAGAGAGTTTATACTGTACTGGTCACTGTTTTTATGTTTGCCCGTGTCCAGTCCTCCCATAAGTGGCATTTTAACCCAACAGTCTCTGATTTCCTGTGTCCCTCAATGAACTCCCAAGAAATGGATTTTACAGTTAGTACAAATATTCCATAGTCTTTTCTATGAGTCACACATGGCGCTTTCTCGTGCATGGATGTCTTGTCTATTGGCTGCACATAGATCTCTCTCACACAGGCTCAGATGACTTATCCGCTAAACTGTGGGACGTCAGCACTGGTCAGTGTATATATGGGATCCAGACACACACATGTGCGGCTGTGACCTTCGATGAACAGAAACTTATCACTGGCTCCTTTGATAACACAGTGGCCTGCTGGGACTGGAGCTCAGGAGCAAGAATTCAGCACTTCCGGGGTCATACAGGGGCAGGTGAGTAGCTTACAGAGAAACTTTCAGGCAGGTGGGTGGAGGTACTCCTTCACTTGTGAGTGAGGTGATTCTGTGGTTGGTACACGCAAAGTTTATGGCTGAAAGAAAAAAGCTCTGATATCATTTTTTTCAGTCAAAATCTGCTCTTCAATTTACAGGCTAGGCACTGGCTGACTGTATCTCAGGGGCTCTAGAATATCATACAAAATATAGAAAGTGACCTTTGTAGGTATCTGATACAAGACACAAGTGCTGCAAGGCCGGAGATATAAGCACTTATCTACTATGCATGAAAAATAAACATGGGGAGTGTGAAACCTCAAAAAATGGAGTCAGAAATTAGGGTGAAATGTCCAGTGCATGAAACAGGCTTCCACAATCCACCCACAATTGCATTATAATTCAAGCCTTGTTCCATATAAAACATGTACAGTGCTGTGAACAAGTATTTGCCCCTTCCTGATTTTTTTTGCATATTTATCATAATTAAATGATTCAGATCATCAAACAAATTTTAATATTGTACAAAGATAACCTCAGTAAATGCAAAATGCAGTTTTTAAATGAAGATTGCATTTATTAAGAGAGAAAAAAGCTGTCCAAACCTGCCTCTCCCTGTGTGAAAAAGTAATTGCACCCCTATACCCCCTGCTGCATAACCCAAGTGAGCTTGAGGTCACAAACTGATGGCCACACGTTCTCCTTCAGGATTTTCTGGTAGGACACAGAATTCATGGTTCCATCAATTATGGCAAGTCGTCCAGGTCCTAAAGCTGCAAAGCAGCCCCAGACCATCACACTACCACCACCAGTTACTTTTTCACACAGGGCCAGGCAGGTTTGGACATCTTTTTTGATCTAATTTACACATGTGCGGTGCGGATTGAAGCTCAAGTTTCATAGCCAATTGACACAGTAGTTGTTCAGCGGTTCATGTCAGGTTTACATCTTGTTCAGGATAGGATTAGCTCAGGATTTTATTCTGTTCATGCATATGCGGTTTAGAAATGGTTCACATAGAAAACAATAGCCTGTAATATGCACCTGAACCTAAAGGCGCTGCTCAGAAATCGGACATGACTCTTTTTCAAAACTCACTGAATCCACACCACCAGTGCATCGGACATATGTGAACAAGCACCATAGAAGGCAATGTTATTTCACATAAAATATAAGGAATCCTCCTGCGCTCAATGGAATGATTATTAAAATACAGCTGCTATCATTCCATTGAGCGCAGGAGGATTCCTATATTTATATTTATGTGATATAAGCGCTTCACTATTTTTTCTTAATGTTATTTCACATGTCATGCGGAACCGCATCCATTTCGCATATATGTGAACCAGCACTTAAGTGTGACAAATATGCAAAAAAAAAAAAAAAACACATAGGAAGGGGGCAAATACATTTTCACAACACTGTATATACATGTACGTACATACATGCTTGTTTTTCATGTATATAGAAAGGAAAGTGTTTATATTGCCTTAAGTGACTAATCAGATTAGTGCTTTGATGTTTCTAGTGTAGATTAAACTGTAAAAGCAAGCAGCTGATTTGTTGCTATTTTTGACACACAAATTTGCAGATGTGCTTTTCTCTTTTCTTTGCAGTGTTTAGTGTGGACTATAATGATGAACTGGACATTCTGGTCAGTGGCTCTGCGGATAACACTGTGAAAATCTGGGCCTTATCTTCCGGATCATGCTTGAATACGCTCACTGGACACACAGAGTGGGTCACCAAGGCAGGTTTCTGCTCACTTTCAGAAATAAGTTATACTGGCAGACTGGTATCAACTTTTACTAAAGTCCCTAGGAGGATTGGGACATTTTGTATGTGACCCATCTAATGTGTGTATAACAATTTCTGATGTTTCAGTTCAGTGTGTTTGTTCAAGTAAGCATTTCATAGAATATGAACAGCTGATGGTTATTGAAATGTATATCTAGAAAGAAGGGATAATGGGTTCTTTAAAGTCCAGATTAAGCTTGCACTGCTGCCTCTTTCTGTGGTAACACAGGGGCCTGCTGGGACTGGACCTCAGGGGCCAAAATTCAGCACTTCCAGGGTCACACACGGTCAGGTAAATAGCCATCACAGAAGCACTTAGGCAGGTGGGTTGGGGGTTCTCTGTCATTTGTGAGTGAGGGGTTTCTGTAGGTGGTACACAGAAGGTTGCTAGTCTCTTTACAGGTGATTGCTTTTTAAATGTAACGGGGGACTCTGGAAGATCATAAAACTCCATGCAAATAGGGACCCTTGTGGGTATCTGATACAGTATGCTGCAAGGCTACAGATCAAAGCACTTAGCCACTATGCATGTAAAATAAACATGGGGAGCACAATCACCTCACATTGTGTGTTAAGTATTGGGGTGAAGAGTTAAGTTGCATTGTTCTGTGTTTGAAACAGATTTCCAGGTTCTCTGCTTTGTGACTGTTACTTGTACTTACTTTTGTTTGGGAAATACTGACCTCCGCTGGCATGGGTGCCATCCACTACAAGTGACATTCACAATGACAGCCACATGTTCACCCTGTCGTTCACTGTTCTTTGGGACAACCTCCAGACTCCGATGTCAATATTTGTTACATGTGTGCTACCCTGAAAACCTGCTATCTATCTACATACACCTTAAAGGAATAAAAACCGCTGTATGTGTATGCTTAGCTAACACAAATATTGTGTGTACCCATAGGTGGTCATGCAGAGCTGTCAGGTGAAATCTGTCATGCATAGTCCTGGAGATTGTATGTGTATGCTTAGCTAACACAAATATTGTGTGTACCCATAGGTGGTCTTGCAGAGCTGTCAGGTGAAATCTGTCATGCATAGTCCTGGAGATTACATCCTTCTAAGTGCTGATAAATATGAAATTAAGGTATTTATGCTGTGTATATTTGATATGGTTTTTCTTTTAAGATAGCTTTCCTATGTTAACACCCTGTGTTGTCTTGATCCTTTTAATTACATCTGTTTCAGACTTTTCATATTTTTATTTTATAAAGATATGTTGAATTTCTGATATTTACTTTACAGTTTACTGAATGTTACGTTATGTGTGTATGTATCAGCAAAACTTATTTTGTAGTTTTGGACAGCATGGGGAAGGATTAGAAACCAGGCTGAACTGTTATTGCTGTCTCTTTCTCTCTATTTGTTGCCAGGGCTGAGAGTGGGAGAAAATTACAAAATTTGGGTTCTCACCATAACAGAAATAGAGGTGAAATCTTCCGATATTGTCACTTGTTCTGATGACAACTTTAAGAGATGAAAATGCAAAAATGCCAATAAAGAGACTCTGTTCCCCGACCTTTCATTTCAACAACAATCTCCCCATAGGATTTTATGTGAATTTAAAAAATGTTATGCAATTTATTTACCTGTAAAAGTCTGTCTGGTGTAGACATCCAAAAGCCCTGAGACTGCTGCTGAATGCCATGATCTTGGATTTGTTTGTCAGAAATCCACCAGACTCAAAGCTGTCACTAAAGTGACACTCGATAGTATTCCCCTTCACTCTCCCCAGCACCTACATAAATGTAAAAGATTATGTAAGCAGGTGAAGAGAGGGTGGAGATGTTGGGGCCAGCACAGGCAGTAATCAGACATTCTTAGAAGAGGGCTATGATGAGCAAGGAGGGAAGGGGTGCTAGGGAATTGATTAGTCTTTTTTTTTTCTAGCAAGTTCAGAAAGCACAATGCAAATGAATAAAAAATAATTTATGGAAAGTAAAAAAAACATTACAAGTAAGCATTTAGAATAATTGTTTTGTTCTGTGCTTTTATCTTCAGTTTTTAAAGAGTTTGAAAAGGTTCAGATTTTTTAAAAGTAACAAACAGGTCCTGCTCTGTGCAATCCTGATCTGCCTCTTCTTAGGTACCCTGATAGCACTCCAGACCCCTCCCCTCTGCTGAGTGCAGCTTGAACTCGTGCGTGCTTGCTCCTGAGCCGCATCTGAGTGTCTATGAGACACACAGAGCGCAGCGTGGCTCTGCCCTCTGCTTTCTCCGTACTGACTGTGATTGACAGCAGCGGAATGCATGAAAGTGAAAAACCTTCAGGCTTTATGATCACTTTAAGTTAGTGAAAGGGTCTCTTTAGGTAGATACTCATGTTTTCTAACTGTGCAAAGATCTATTTGAGTCACATACAGCAGGATCTCTTTGTCTAGGGAATAGATTCAGAGAGATTTGTAGTTGCTACTGTGGTGCTGGTGTGCCTTGACTCTAAGGAAAACCTTTTCTAAGGGATATATGAGGATTGCCATTTTAATCTCCTTCTGAAGATGCTAGTCGTCTGGCTATTACACAGACCAAATGGATATAAAAAAGTTTTACACACATACAATCCAGTGAGAGCGCCTAAACGTATGTCCAAGTGTCTAAGGTCATTTTCATGATTAAATTCATTCATAGCAAATAAATCCAATGCGTTTTGGGGGCCAAATACACTCCACCCTCATCAGGGCTTAGGAATTCTGACCGTACCTAAACTGTTTCTAGAGTCAAAATAGTTTTTACCTTAATGCATTCTCTGTATTAAAGTAACATACTCTCCACTACCTATCCTTCCCCCATCATTAAACACTTACCTGCCTCCTTTCACTAATACAGTGCTGTCCCAGCTGCAGCACCACTCTTCTCTCTTTCTGGTTTCACAGGAGACACTGAATGCGGCGGGAGCCATAGGTTCCAACTCCTGTGGGAAGGAAGTGTGGAGTGGCTTACTGGTACTGTGTGTGTCCATGGACGCACACAACCTGGATCGGGAGCATGCCCATAGGGGAGCCCCCATAGCGCACGGTTTGTGAAGGAGACTGCCAGAGTGGAGGAGGGGGACTGCTCTGTGCAATATTGCGCAGAACAGGTTAAGTATAACATTTTTTATTTTGTTTAAGTGTAGCCTGCACAGAAGATTAAATGAATAAACTGGCTGCTGCTAGCAATGCCACAAGTGTGTTAGTAGAAAATTGTGTGAATAAACCATAAATAATTGCTGCGCTTCTTCTCATGAGTGAATATACCACCCTATATACGTGTTAGTGACCCACAAAACATACGTGTTCCTCTATAACATAGGTCTAAACAAGATGTGCCCCTCGTTCCCATTGACTTAATGCATCCCTATGTTGGGGAAAAAATTATTATATGTAAATGCCCTGCGTGCTTCAACCAACAAGTGTACCAAATGAGTGAAATAAATAAACAATGAACCATCAAACTATAAATATAGTGCACTTGTATACAAAATATGAATAATAATAAGTCCCAATCAGCGTTCAACCATTTAAAGTTCCAACATGAAATAATATCCCCATCCACATCCAGTGTAAAACTAGGCGATACAGTGATTAATCTTCTTATCCATAAAATTCTTTGTGTTGAGTGCTCCACTTAGTGCTCCCCCTCCAGGGCCCCACTCACCACAAATTGTTGACCACCTACAATGGTAGGTCAAATGGCGCTTTTAGGTGTAGCAGCATTCTCCTGCAGTGAGTTCGCTGTCTGTCTGGTCTTGATGCCTCTATTTGCTGGCTGCAGGTTCCATAAGTGAAAACACATCCAGACCGTCCACAATACTCCTCCACCACCATGAAAACATCAAAAGGAAACACTTGAAAATGCACTTACATAAAAAGCATGTATATGGCACTTTAAATCCTGGGACACAGCAATCCCTTCTCGAACAATTGTAGCTCTGTCAAGCCCCACCCTACGCATTTCGTCATATGAGTGCACTATATTTATAGTTTGCTGGTTTCATTGTTTATTTCACTCATTTGATACACTTGTTGGTTGAAGCACGCAGGTTATTTACATATAATGATTTTCTACCCAACATAGAGATGCAGTATGTCAATGGGAAGGAGAGGCACATCTTGTTTCTACTAGTGGTGCACTGAAATGAAAATACTCCCACGCCCATTCTAAGGCTATTCTATCTACCCTGTAAAGAAAAGATCTGTATATACTTACCTGTTCTGAAGCTGCTCTGGTCCAGTCCCAGGATTAGCTGTCAGTGGTGGCTTTTGTGTAGAGAAGGGGCAGCCAACATGTTATATTCAGGTTTATTTTGTGGTTGTGTTGCAGATTTGGCCTATTGGAAGGGAAATCAACTGCAAATGCTTGAAGACACTGTACGTGTCGGATGACCGGAGCATTACGCTGCAGCCACGTCTGCACTTCGATGGCAAATACATTGTATGCAGCTCAGCATTAGGACTCTACCAATGGGACTTTGCCAGCTATGAAATTTTAAGGTAAATGGACATCTCATCTCTGTTGGTTCAGATGTGATAGACAAAAGAAACATTTTCTTTAGTGTCATCAGTCATAAGACACTATCTTACCAATCACACAGCTCAAAAGAAAACAAACAAGATAAGTCCTTACTGGTAGATAAACACACATGTTACAGAAAGTTAGATATGGGAAGCTGTAAGAACTATTAACTGGATTTGTAGGTCAATCTCTCTTGATAAAAGACTGTTGTATATTGGAAATAGGCTGGCCGTTGCCAGCTCTATTGGACAGCCCAGTGTGACATTTGGGCAAGGATGGGGGCTGTTTATTCATGCCTCTGAGATGTAATGACAAGTGTTTTCAATGCTATCAGAGCTTATTTTTGCTCACAGAAATGTGGCAGTTCTGAGTGGTACAGATAATAAGCATGTCATTCTTGATAATACAACTTCCTGTCAAAAGCAGCTCATAGACATGAGGTGGCATTACCTGGTCCAGCTGCATTTGGCCAAATTGGGCAATATTTGACAACTATGGCACAGGCAGATGCCTCCTGCCTGGGAGCTCCTGGCAGAAGTTCAGCCTGTCCTTACCACTATTATTTCCTGAGATACATTTCCTCCATCCACTCAATCAAGGTCCCTGCTGAAATGGCTGTGTATGGCCTGCTAAAAGCAAAGAGCAGATTTCAGCAATTAAGCAGCAGCTATCATTCAGTCATGTGATTTCAGTAAACTGAAATTTGGCTGCCTCAGGCTATTGGTTGATAAACAATTCATATCAACCATAAATCAGTGTTTTGTTTAAACACATCATATGTATTATTTCTGTACTAATATATAAAACGTTAATACAAATTATGAATTAATGTGTACAAGCCTACACTATTCTGTATTTGGACACCAAAATCTAACATTTGTGAGAGGAAGTGCAGCAGTCACACTTCCACGGTGATGAATTCATGCTAATCGTACAGCCTCATTATAGTAGGCTTTCACATTTATTAGGTAGTGTTAAGTCACTTATAGCTTGAGACTGTTGGGCTAGGCAATGTGCTGCTTCCTTCGGAAACTCAGCGGTGAGATTTCTGTGCTTTAGTTCCGGAAATTGATCCTAATCTTTATGTTGCATTCTCACCAAGCAGGCAGGGGGCCCTTACAATAGTGTGTTATGTGTGAAAACCCAGGAACTCAAAGCAGAGATCTAACTGATGGAGCCTTCATTGATGTAAGAAACTGTGGTGTTTGGCTGTGTAGCATCCACCAAACACTGAAATGTTTGCCTGCTTTAATGTTTATATTTTATAATCATGTTTGTTTCTTGTAGAATTATAAAAATGCCAGACTCCACCAGCCTCTCCCTTCTCGGCTTTGGTGACATTTTTGCTCTTTTGTTTGACAACCACCACTTGTACATCATGGACTTACGGACTGAGAAAGTGATCAGCCGCTGGCCCTTGCCAGAGTATAGGAAGTCCAAGAGGGGCTCCAGCTTCTTGGCCGGAGAAATGGCATGGCTGAATGGCTTGGATGGTGTTAATGATGTTGGCTTAGTCTTTGCCACAAGTATGCCTGATCACAGTATCCATTTGGTATTGTGGAAAGAAAATGGCTGAGAGCCACAAATGGGCATCAGGTGTTTTTAACTGGACGTTCAGACTGAAGTATCAGCAACCACTTTCAAAGCATAACTTGCATGAACCAAAGTCTCCCATCATGCACTGCACTGCAATCATAGTTTTTTTTTTGTTAGTTTGGGGAGAAAAGAGCCTTTTATTGCCACATTAGCATTTCGCATGCTGAAAGGATCTCACTGCCTATTTTTACATACTTCCCATGAACTATGTGCGTGATTAATGTCCAGCCACAGTCCTTCCTTTTGGATTGCTTTTAAAGAAAACTGGAAGAGAAAGCTGTCCATGTTTTTTGTCCACCACCCATTTGTACTATAGATTTCAGTCTTCGATAGTCTTTATACATGTAATCTATTTTATTACAAAATAGACTAAATGATTTGCTAGTTTATCTATAACATATGACAGGAATTTCCCCATCGACATCACCGCCAGCTGTTGTATAAAGCACTTGAACCCTGGACAAGTTTCCTGTACGAGACTGCGTGTGGATGTTGCACCTGGGTTTCTCCCGCCACAAGCAATTGTGTCCAACTGTTAAATAGTGTAATGTCACCTGTATGCTGATTGACAGAGCAGAATCCACAGCCTTTTCTCTGCTTGTCACAATAAAGCTCCACATACCCAAACAATGATCTCAGTATTCATTATTTCACATTCCCAGATATCTAAGCTCTCCCAGGAAAGAATCCTGAAGATTTCCTCAGTGTTCATTATTTTGAGAACCCAACAACCAAAGGATCCAGACCTAGTTAGGGGATAGTGACCAGGTCTGAGGTTTATTCCCTCCCCCACGCCTTTATTGTTTTATAATTTCCAGAACTACATGTCACCGAAGATCTAGGCTCAACCAGTTTAAAATCATTCATTGCAGAAAACATGAGAACTGTGGGCTGTAAGCTGTGCCTGTTAGGAGGTTGGACACGAAGAGGAAATCATGCACACCCATATATAAAGGCTCAGTAGAGATCGTATAATTGGTAAGCTTTTTAACTCTACCTTTTATAAAAGAGCAGGCAGAGGTAATCAGGTTAACAAGCCTGGGAAGTACACCTATACTTTTTGACTTGTATACTAAATGTTTATAGAGGTTATTTAGTAACATGTATTTCTTTCTCGTCCATTGATGGACACAGAAAGTCTTTCACCTTCAGGTTCTACTGCCGCCAACAGAGGACTGAGCACTGGCAAACAAGAAAACTGTAGGACAGCCTGGGATAACCCCTCCAACCATCAGCATGCCTCAGCTTTTTGCTGTGTCCAGGAGGATGGACATCTTTTCTTCAGTGCTGCTGGGAAAACTCTAATAGAATTTGCTAGCATGATTATTTTTGTGAGTGTCTCATGCACTCTCTTCACAAATTCTTTCTTGCTATTCAGTGTCAAGGAAGCTTCTCCCTGCTGCTGCTGCACTGCATAGAGCCACATAGAACTCCAGTCTTTGGTCTGTTTCTGCTGCCCTCCGACAGTGACCATGGCCACCTCTTGCCTTCTGACCTTCACATGCTACTAGCTGTGTGGGTTTCATGAGTACTTAAAATGTTACTAAACCCAGGAGCTTGCATTCACTATATCTGGTCTCCCACAGTACACAGAACATGGAAGTGTAATTATTTTAGTAAGTATAAACTGCTAAATATCTTTTCTCAGCAGTTAGAGCAGTGTTGTGACTTCTATCAGTGTCCAACAGAGCACATGTTAAAGCTTTCTAGGAGGAGTTTTCATTTTGCTCTAAGAGGATGCAGAACCCCTGACCTCTGTCTGGACGGTGCTAATTGGCCCTGTGCTGATCACATGCATTCTCCCAAGAATAGAAAAAAAAACTCTCTAGCAATACACACCAAACTGAGCATGTCATGTGCACAGTGACTCCACACAATATGTCTTATCAGGAGATAAGAAGGGGGACATTGGAAGAAGGGGAGGATCAGAGAAATCAGGATCAAACAATGTTTTTACACAATGCAGAGGGTTAACCCCTTAGGTTTTACAGTGAGTATAACAAGCATGATTTACTGCATATACAGACTGATTTTACTGTTGCGGGTTCAGTAACAGTTTAAGGCCTTGGGAGATGACCATTAGTGGGTTCATGCAGGTTTAGATGGGTCTACTTGTCAAGCACAAATGGATTTTTGTATTTTCTTTATTTTTATTGTATACAATAAATTTTGTGAGAGGTAGCCCTAGAGATGTTGTGGTTTCTATGGTCTCTTTTCTTTTTTGCACCAGCCATATTGTTGTGGTGACACCCACCTATATTATAGAGTTGGGCACCTTCATATTTGGTGGATTCCCCCAACTATGCTATATAATTTTTCCAGTTACCCGAGGCCTTACTTTGTACCTTGAGCTTTACGTTGCTTAAAGTGGAAGGCAAGTCAAAACCTAACTAAGCTTACATCTACTCCCACCCCCATTCTAAGAATATTCTATCTACCTTGTAAAAGAAAAGTTGTCTTTAGTTATTCTGAAGTTGCTCTGGTCAAGTTACATGAGCTTTCCAGCTTCAGTGTAGAGGAGTGATCGCTGACAACAGCTTCAGAGCCTAGGCTATGATGTTACCCGTAGGCTTACTACGGGGCATCCATTGTTGATTGTCCTTCCTGTACACTGATGTTGGCTCTGAAAACCGGTCATGTGACCAGAACGACTTTAGTATAGGTATCTTATAGGCATCTTTCCTTTTACAGGGTAAGTAGTACAGGTTTAGAATAGGGTTGGGATTAGATTTAGGCTTTGTTAGGTTTTTGACTTGCCTTCCACTTTAACCTCTGCCTGATCACAACATGTTCTGATTCTAGACACCAAGAGGATAGGTGATAGGTGGCACTGATATATGGCACTGATAGGCAGCAGATGGCACAGATAGGCACTGGTGCACACTGATAGGCATTGATAGGTGGCACTGACTGGCACTGATGGGTGACACTGAAAGGCAGCTCAGATGGGCACTGATATGTGGCATTGATGTGCACTGGTAGGCACTGATATGTGGCATTGGTGTGGCACTATTCAGCACTGGCAGCTGGCACTGATGGACACTGACAGGTGGCACTTCTGATGCCCTGATGATCAGTGTACATGTCCCCTCCGCGGAATGCCGATAACCGGCATTTCCCTGTTTACATGTGATCAGCTGTGATTGGACACAGCTAATCACATGACCGAGCCGACATCTTCGGCTCTTTCCGTAGATCGGTGATCCGCTGTGTCCGAGGGACACAGCGCATCGCTGCGCGCGCGCTCCCCTGAGCCGCACATGCGCGGTGAGAATGGGAGGACGTCATATGACATCCTCCCAGAACGAGGGAACCACATTGCGCCCGTCATTGGACTATATGGCGGGCGGGAGGTGGTTAAAGTGCCTCTGACCACCAGTGATTGGAGGTGGTTTGTTTTAAAATGCCAATGACCACCAATGATTGTTTTTTTTTTTTTTTTGTTTTTTTTTTTTTTTGTTGTTTTTTTTTTGCGGGGGAGGTTAAAATGTGACCGACCATCAGTCTTGTGGGATAGTTTTGGGGAAGGGGATTAACTTACGACTGAGAAACATTGATGGGGCATAGGAGTTTTAAAAAAACCATTTCTGGCCCAGTTATCCCAATGTACTTTTCTCTCACTTTATCTCATCCACATGATGTATGTATCAGCATTCACTTCCTTGTTGCATCACAGAAGAGGGTGTGATAGGGTGTGTTCAGCACTCTAGACCACCATACCTCCCTCATTACAATCCTACCTTCAACCCATCAGCTATGTAGTACAAAGGCCTATATGATACAAATGTATTGGATTGTTCAGGTGTGTCTTCCTATTTCATAGTTTTGGTAAATATAAAGGAGATTGTACAATCAGATTGCATAGTGTATGGCCATCTTTATACAAGTACATAAGAGGGAGTGGACGGAGACACTCAGGCCCTGTTCACATCCCTATGTAGTAAAGACTCAAATTCCCATAGGCGTTTGTTTTGGGAGTTTTGGAGCTTTTTCACTCGTCACGCATAGGGCAGCCCATTCACCTTAACGGGCTGCCATACACGCAACAATTGCCCCAGAAAAGCTCCAGAACTTTTTTTTGGAGCAGAGTACGGTGTGTTACCACAGTTTATGGTGTGTTTGCCGCACTTGGGGTGCCTTTAACACGTAATGACAGCACAAACACGATGCGCATTTGCAGCGTGTTTCTGAAACGCATGGCAAAGCACACAGCATTTATCCAATCACTTGGCCTGAGCCCATCTGTAGTGACGCTGGGGTAGCTAGGTAAATTCACATGGGGAGAAATCCCAGGGATTACTGTGGAAATAGTTGATGGGTGAAGGGTGTGCACTAATGAGGTTAGTGCAGGAGGTGTGCACTAATGAGATCAGCAGGTAGTCTGCTTCCAGGATTCCACTGGCTCCTCTGTATACAGTCCAGGAATTGAAAAAGATTTCTAAGACATTTACCAAAGGCTAAGGTAAAGCCTTGCTCTCCAAATCAAAGAGATCTTAAATATTTTTGCAATTGAGGTACATTAATTGTGTATATTGGTGCATAGGGAAGCTGGATTTTATAAAACAAAAAAAAAGTGAACTTGGCCTTTAAGTTTATTTGTGATGTCTAGCCAATGCTCACAATGCAATTTCATCCTGCAGAGAACATTCTTTAACTAATAATGTTTCTTTTGGCTTCAGTGAGCAACTTTTAAAGGCTAAGTACACCTCAATACCAATCTGTTACTTAATTTCCAAAAAAGAAGTGCACTCTGGGATGTCCACTTTCCAAAAAGCGAAAATACAGCCAAAAGAAAGATTTATTCATCGAAAAAATTATAAAAATTTATTTGGATACAGTTTTGCATGACTGAGTCTTTGTTAGTCAAACTATATTTCAGAACTGAAAACTGACCTGGAAAGGAGGACATACAACCTGTGGATATTGAGTGGTTAAGGTCTGGAGCTCTAAATCCGCCAAACCCTCAGACAAACCTTCGGA